AACATAAGGTGGAATAGCTATTTTAGATAGAGGGGTTTAGAAGTTGGGGAAGTCCTTTCAGTTATTTGACTGAGAACTGAATAAAACAAGGAAGTGAGCCATGAGATCTGGGGAAACACATTCCAAGAAAAAGGAAGAGCAGGTGTAAAGATCCTAATGTGGGAACAGGTTGGCTTGAACTAGAGGGAAGTAGAGGAGAAGATAATCATGAAGGCAGTTAGGGACCCAAACTGGCTAAATATCATAGTCCATAGCAATGACTGAATTTTATTTAGATACTTTAAGTAAATATTTAAACCCATGGGACTGGATGAAATTAACCTAAGGAATGACTACATAGGGAACCAGAGAGGGACCCCCCCCTTCCCCCGAGTGCACAAATTTTTGTGCACCGGGCTTCTAGTCCTATGTAATAAAAGGCTAATATGCAAATTGTCCCCTGTTCAGGCATTCGACCAGGGGGTGGGGCTGGCCAGCCAACCACCCATGGCCCCTCCCCCCAGGCAGCTCCACCCCCAATCGGCCCACCCACCCCGATTGGGGGTAGAGCAGGCAGGCCAGCCGAACCCCACCTGTGCACAAATTCGTGCACCAGGCCTCTAGTTTAGAAATAAGGGCCCAACATAGAAGTCTGAGAAGCTGAAATGAGGGAAGGAGGAAACTAGAATAATTGGTGTCTAGAAGATGGAGGACGAAACTGAAAAGACTGCCAATAAGAAGGTATCAACTGTTTTAAATACCACTGGAGCCAAACCATCACTCCTAAAATCACACTTTCTAATCTGCCCTCTTCAACTCTTGCAGCTATCACTTTTAGTGATCTCTAAACCACTCCTGCATCCTCAGGGTTGAATTCTAAGTTAAACTGTCTAATTCAGAACATATTTCTTAGAAGATTAAAATATCCTGAATTTCTCTTTTCCTCCGTTTTCCTTTTACTGCCTCTCTCTTATTCTCCTTTTAATAGAGAAATTTAGAGGACTCAAAACTACAAACCCCTCTCAGTGCCCTCAGCAGTCCCAGATCTGTCTCTTGCTTCAACAGTGTTTGGACGAACAGACCCAGGGACGCCACTTCTTCCAGCCTCTGACCACTCTCCTGCGTCTTATCCAGTCACCACCTTCAGAAACACCTCCCGGACCAGCCAACACACTG